CAACATGGAAACTGTAGTTAATATTTATAAGTTAACAGATTATGAAAGCAGAAATGTACAAGTACATCATATATATATATATATCTCAAAGTATTTTACTAGGCCACCAAAATATTGATAATTAGACCAAGAGTTAGTCGTTTTAGAAATTAAATGTGTATGTTTGGTTTACAGAAGTTACCAACAATGTCAAAAACAGCAAAGAGGAACAAAATGGACATAAGGAAAAGTGTGATATGCAGGCATACTGCGTGTTTCCTACCAGATTCAATGATATTTAATTAGAAAAAATTTTGTTTGTTTAGTTTGTATGGAGATTTTGCATATGCCCGTAGTCCAGAAAGCAATTGAGATTACTTCATCTTAGTTACATTGTTCTCTGTAACAGATAATGTCTGTTCTGCCCAAAAGGATATTACAATAACATATTGCATCTAGGTTGAAAGGAATAGCACTGGAATGTCCTTTGCTGGCCAAGCTGATGTTATCCAAAGGTAACGGCTGACCAATGTTGTGAAAGAACAAAGAAGCTAAACTTATCTGTTGAATTCATTTGTGCTTTCTTAGTTCAGTTCCATCTTGAGTTTTTAAGAGTAAAGACTTACTTTAAGATCATTGTGTTTAGTTTCACAGAAGTCTATCCTGAGAGAAAGCAAGCTGTGGAACTAAAAACAGTCCAGTAGAAGCGACTGTGATTCTGTCTGTCCAAGTATTAGCACTATGTTTTCTTTTGCTTGTTTCATAATAAAACTAAAATAAAAAAATAAAACTCAGTTATCAGATTCGGAATTTCAGGTGAACAGAATTTTTGGCTACCAATAAAGTTATCTGAAAATTTACACCACAACTTCTCTTAAAATCAAATAACAGGGTTATCTATGTTAGATATTTCAAAACACAATTTAATAGCTCATATAATTTTTGAGATACATATGATAATATTTTGTACTATAACAATTATCATCTAGCATTGCATAACATATTAGCAACACTCATAGAAAAGTGGAAAAGTTTAAAATCATTTTGATTAAACTATGAAGTGACAGTATGAAAATACTTAATCAAAAGTCTTCATAATTTTTGTAAATTTGTACTTCTCCAAAATCTGTATCTGTTTCAACCAAAAAATAACACTGACCTAAAAAAAAACATTTGTCAAATGAATTGCATATATACTTGAAAATATCTTCTATGCTTATTTAGTAATGCAGTAAAAATATAGAATATACAATTTAAATTGGAAAAATCCTGTTTAAAGCAAATTTTTATTGTAGGTTTTAATTTAATAATTAAAAAATACTAACAGGCAAATGAGATACCAAGTTGTGTTTAACATTTGATAAAAATCAAAATATATAAGTTTTATTCAAAATATATGCTCCCCAGTGGCACAGCGGTATATCCGCGGACTTACAACACTAAAAACCAGGTTTCGTTACCCGTGGTGGGCAGAGCACAGATAGCCCATTGTGTAGCTTTGTGCATAACTTCAAACAAATAAACAATTAAAATATATAAAGCTGTCAAAATCATCAAATATTCATTTCACTATTAAAAATAATTATCTAATAGTGTTATTTGTTTTAAAATCATCTCATAATTCACTAAACATTAAGCTTTAAGGTGGATACAAGTTTTATGTGAAAGTATTATATTTCTTTTACACTTTTTCACTATCTTTGCCTATTAAGCTGGCTAGAACTTTTATTCTCTGTAAGTTATGAATTTATAGTGAGAGATACGAGTTTCTTACATGTACTTCTGTTCTTAATCATGATTACAATTCATGAAATAGTCTGAACAGCCATTATTTTCAGTACTTCAAAGAAGCAATAATTATAGTTGTGGATTTAAACCAAATTAGTCTTGTAGAGGTAGCTTTTTATCATTATGAATAAGTCTAAAGTATTTATTAAAAGATGAAATGAATAATACTTCAACTATCTTTCTTATATGTAAACTTATTTTATGTGTATGAATACAAATATATATATATATATTATGAAAAATAATCTTGGAACTTTTAATGTAGGTACAGAATGATATTATTTAATGAATCTTAGGAACAGCACTAAAAACTATTTCAAACAAACAGGAACAAAATATACCCAGTGGAAGCTCAAACGGAAAATTACAATTTGTTATTAAAACCTTTACTTGAATTAGATTTATTTCAGATATTTTAAGTGACTGGTTAGTGATAAATGAAAAACTCATTTTGTGATATAGTAAATTTAAAATAATTTTCAGGATGAAAGAAAATTTAATGCTGTATGAATTAACCTTATTTTTGTGATTAAAATAATAGGTTCTAGATTTACAATAATACTAATTTATTTATGGATTCCACACTGTACAAAAAAACTTTAAAAAAAAAGGGAAGTATCTTTCAATACATAGTATACTAACAAATATAGATCACCAATTGTGGAATCAACCTGAAACCAGTGTAATTAAAATATTAGGGACACAACTAGTTTCTTTTTTTATAGTTTCATTAATCAACTTCTATGTCACTTTAACGAGCATTTTAAAACATTTGCAATAATTTTGTTCATCTAAAACAAGAATTAACGAAACCATTTTATCACTTTGGAAATTTACGTAGATTTCCAATCTAAGTTTTTTTGTTTTTTGAAAGAAAAGAAAAAAATATTATCCCTGCAAATTTAGAGCTTTCAAAAAAGGGGAAAACTTACACAGTTACATAATCTATTGACACAAAAAGTTTTAAATAATTGTTCAAAAATGTTGATCTCTGGCAAATTTTTAACTTTATTTTAAGCTTATTAGTTACAATGTTACAAATTTATCAAAGAAATCCATATTGTTTGAAATAACAATATGATGTTAGGTCCTTTGACAAATAGTAAGTTAATTCAGCAGTGTAAACTGACTAGAAAATGCGGTCTATACACTATTATATTCATTTGGGACAAGAACGATCAGTCCTAAACAAAGTTTCTTAGCAACATTAAAATAAGAAAAATTATTATGTGATTCTAATTTTTCTTAACTTTTCTCATATTTTCAACAGTGTATGTAAACATTGTTTAGCTTTTCCACTATTTTCAATCACCTCTGCAAAGTTCAAGATTTACCTTATAAAACAGTAAGTGTAAAAAACTGATTATAAAAGGTTTTACAGACTATATAAACAAGTTACAATTGTTAGTGGGAATGTCCATCACCTTGTATTCTTAAGTGCAATATAAAAAAATGTGTGCATTGCAAATTAAAAGAAAACATTTAAAACAAATTTGGTAATTATCAGTTTTAAGTGAACAGAACTTTCTGTTTGTTATTTTTAAGTGCAATGATACACAAGATGCTTTCTGTGGTGTGCTAACCACAGGTATCAACTCCCAGATTGTATTGTTATAATCCCTCAGCTAGACTAGATTCATTACTTCTGCACAGTTTGTTTGTTGACAAAATAAGATACTGTGGATATGAAAATATGAAATTATCCATGTAATAAAATTTCTACTTTTTATGGTTTTCATAAAAAACTGTATGATTTCCTTAAACTTTAAAATACTTAATATATCTATTAAGTGGTTTCATGTATATACTAGTATATAACACTATTGTGGTATACAATTGAAATATAACTTTTAATTTTGAGGTAAAATTTATTTAGTGCCTTTGCATGTCTCTATCCTTGGCTCTATTCTTATCTTCTAATATACATATACATGTATCTCCTACTATATTATGCATCAACAACTTTATTTTATATGTGACAGGCAATTTTTATTAACTTTTACATTTTAATACCAATGATAAAACTTTAACCATATCTGACATGACTTAAACTGGTACTTAAGTACGGTATAATAAATGGTCTTTCAATTTGTGTTAGTAATTGTTTTTTCTGTTTTGATAGGAATTTTGTTTTCAATAGATTTACCATAATCACATTATATATCAAACTAGAAAATAACTTATAGTTTATGACTTATTAGAGTAAAAATCAATGATATTTATTAAAGATTTAAGAAAACATACAAAGAAAATAAGCAATAACTCTCTCTTTAAATTGCACACAATATATTAACATGAACTGAAAGTATGCTACCATTTCATCACATCTGTTTATAATGCAAGTTGTGGCATGGATTGTTTTAATGTGTAAGTGCTTTTAATATATATCATTCAAGTATGAGTAAAGATAAACCACAGTAGTTTAATTTTCATTAAACCTACTTTATAAAACATTACCTATCAATATTTGAGAATATAGTGTGATAAGATTTTAATCATTTGTTGTAAAACACCTTCTACAGTTAGGTTGTAAAAGAATATAAAATCCTTCAAAAATCATACAAGACAGAAAAACAAATCCATTTGGGAAATTTATTATTTTTTATAACATGTAATCTTAGTCATTTCTTATCAAAGGTATATTCAAATTTACCTAGGATGAACATAAGAAATAAGTACTACAAATTTCCTGTTTTTATCCAACCTTTGTGTGCCATAACTAACAGGTCATTTTTGGATTTAAAAAAAGAAAGAAATAGACACTTTTGGTTCAGAATATTAAAAAAAGTCCTTTATACATAAATGTCAAATAATCATATTTGTGCCAAACCTGAAGAAATTTCATCCCCACCCAACAAAAAGCAATACAAGCCTTATTATTATCAACAAAGAAACTTGTCAGAATGCTATATTAACTCCTTCAAGGCATTAACCCCAAACTGTAAAAGTTATCCCCAAAAAAAACATGTTTGTGTATGTGGGGGAGAGGAGGAGGTTAGTGAGTTGTGTTTTCCCCTGGTGAAAACTTGCATGTTATTTTCCTTGTAGTCACACTTATTGTTAACTTTTCTATGTGACAGTTCAGTTTTTCCATTATTTGTGATCATTTGCAAAGGTCATACTAACTGTAATGTCATGTACACTGTATATAACTTAAGTCAATTGATTAATTCTTCTTTTTTTTTTCACAACAAATTTCAGGTCATGAAAATGTTGGGGAGTTTTCTTGTATTTATTTTTCTATATAGTTTTTACTATTCTTTTCAAAACACAATCTCACTATAATAAATTATAAACACTGCCTATTGACACCCCTCTTACCTCTGACTAAAACATTACACTGTTCATGTTGGTGGTTTTGTTTAGATATTCCATGCATGCTGTACATCATATTCATCACCACCAAAATAAGTCAACAATCTTCATCATGAAAATTTGAGCCTTCTGGTCAATATATATTCTGTGTAATAACATTTAACTATAAAGCTGCAAGTAAAACTCGGCTTTGATACTGAGTACTACCATCCCTTATAACAAATTGATATGGATTCAATACTTACATAAAGAAATGTACAAAAAGGGATTTGTTTGAAACTGTTTCAAATATACCTCACAAGTAAATAAACAAAAACTCATTATTTAACACACAGAAATTCTAAAATCATTAAAATGGCAATTTTATCAGCACTGGATATGACAGATGTAGTATGGTTGACAAATAATATATTCTTCTTTACTTTCACTCATAACTTCTTAGACTATACAAATATAAATTTATAAAAATACAACCCATCAATGTATGTACGTACAATTAAGTTATCTACCACAACAATGGGCATTATCATAAGTTAAAATCAAGCATAATTGGTTTTAATTAACAAAATTTTTCTTTCATAAAGATATGCTTTTTCTTTGGTAAAATTTTATCACTTATTGAGGGTTGTAGAGACTTTAAGCTCTGTAGCTGTTATACATAGATTGCAATGCTTCCAGTTCAGTGTGGGCTACTTCATCCTGCATGAAAAAAAAAATCCTCATTTACTACATGTATAGTTTTCCTGTTTTTAGCTACCAGATTGCCTAAAGAGATATACAAGGTGTCCCCAAAAAATGTATACACACTTTGAATGATTATAAATATAATGTTTATTAAGACATATCTGACTTTTA